CTATTTCCTGTTACAGATACAGGTCCAAGGTCTATTCCTAAGTATTGCAGCATCAGGCCCTTAATCATGTAAGTTCATAGGGGCAATGATAAGGATCTTGGAAATTAAGTCATTATATCCAGGTTTACAAAAAGCTGATTTGTAAACCACAAATTCAATTTATTAATTTGCAATGGAGTAATTATTTTTCCACTAACCAGATAATTTTTTCATTTATTACCAGTGCCTTTTTTTTTTTTTTTTTGAGACAGGGTCTCAGTTTGTCTTTCAAGCTGGAGTGCAGTAGTGCAATCTCAGCTCACACCGTGACCCCCAAGGCTCAAAAGATTCTCCACCTCCAGGGCTCAAACCATCCTACCACCTCCGTCTCCAGAATAGCTGGGACTACAGGAGCACGCTACCATGCCTGGCTGGTCTCAAACTCCTGGATTCAAGTGATCCTCTCACCTCAGCCTCCCAAAGTGTTGGAATTGCAGGCATGAGCCAACGTGCACAGTCCCAGTGTTAAAATTTTTATTACAATTTATTCATTTTGAAATAGTTTAGGACTCATAAGAAGTAGCAAAAATAGTAGAGAGAATTTCCACATACCCTTCACAAAGCTTTGTCCCAATGATAACCATAACCATAGCACCTTGTCAAATCCAGGAAATTGACAATACAACACAATCAACTCAAATGCAGACCTTATATGGATTTCACCAGGTTTTCTCATGTACTTATGTGTGTATTTGTAGTTCTCTAAAATTTTACCACCTGTGGATTTGAGCAACCATCACCAAAATCAGGATGCACAAGTGTTCCGCCACCACAAAAAACTCTCTCATGTAACCCCTTAATACTCAGTCTCTTCCCAATCCTAATTCTTGTCAACCTCCGATCTGTCCTGCATAACTATAATTTTTCATTTTGATGATATCATATAATGGAATCATTGTAACTCTTTTGAGATTTTTTTCCCCACTAAGCATAATACCCTTCAGATCCATGTAAGTTTACTGTATGTATCAATAGTTTATTTATTTATTTAGAGACAGAGTTTTGCTTGTCGACTAGGCTGGAGTGCAGTGGCTTGATCTCAACTTACTTCAACCTCCGCCTCCCAGGTTTAAGCAATTCTCCTGCCTCAGCCTCCCGAGTAGCTTGGATTACAGGTGCCTGCCACCTTGCCTAACTAAATTTTATATTTTTAGTAGACGGAGTTTCACCATGTTGGGCAGGGTGGTCTTTAACTCCTGACCTCAGGTGATTCACCTACTTCGGCCTCCCTAAGTGCTGGGATTACAGGTGTGAGCCACTGTGCATTGCCAAGAGTTTCTTTTTATTGCTGATTTGTATTCCATTCCATGATGGAACCAGTTTGCTTAACTGTTCACCGGGTAACAGATATTTTGGTTGTTTTCTGGTTTTGGCTATCACAAACAAAAGCTGCTCTAAGTACTTGTGTGTAGGTTTTTGTGCAAACATAAATTTTCATTTGTTTGGGATAAATGCTCAGGAGTGATATTGCTGGATCAGATGGTAAGTATGTATTTAACTTTGTAGGAAAGTGACAAACTGTTTTCTGGAGCAACCAGTGTAAGATCTTAAAGCTTCCATAATTAATACATGGTCACTGTAAAAAAAAAAAAAGAATAAAATAAGGTGGAAATGAACAAAATGAAAAGTAGAATGACAAGTCATGGATCTGTACTGCCTCTTTCCTGAGTAGTAACTGTTGTTAGGTTTCAAGTATATTCAAGAATGTTTTGGCTGGGCGTGGTGGCTCATGCCTGTAATCCCAGCAGTTTGGGAGGCTAAGGCAGGAGGATTGCTTAACATCTGGAGTTCATAACCAGCCTGGGCAACACAGTGAGATGCCGTCTCTACAAAAAAAATGTTTTATGCATATGCAAGCACATACATGTATATATAAATATATATATTCTAAAATGAGATCACACTATACAGGTAATTGTAACTTGATTTTTTCTCATATCTTAGAATATGTGCAATATTAATAAATATATACGTGTTTTAATGGTCGGCATAGGACTCCATTGTATGGACATATAATTTCTTCACTCAGTCCCCTGATTGCCATTTCTATTGTCAGTTTCTATTACAAAGCTATAATGAAAATCTTTCCATATGTATTTCTGTGTAACTTTGTATATTTACTTATTTATTACCTGGTAACTTTCATTTTTTTTTTTTTTTTTTTTTTTTGAGACGGAGTCTCACTCTTTCACCCAGGCTGGAGTGCTGTAGCATGATCTTGGCTTACTGCAACCTCCGCCTCCTGGTTTAAAGTGATTCTCCTGCCTTAGCCTCCCAAACAGCTGGGACTGTAGGTGTGTGCCACCATGCCTGGCTAATTTTTTGTATTTTTAGTAGAGACAGGGTTTCACCTCCTGAACTTGTGATCCACCCATCTTGGCCTCCTGAAGTGCTGGGATTACAGGCGTGAGCCGCTGTGCCCGACCATCCGGTATAATTTGTATAAGCATATCTCTACGGTAGACTTCTAGAAACGGAATTACTAGGTCAGTTTTACATTTAACTGCTCTGAGATACTTTCGACTTTTTCTTCAGTTTTTTTTTTTGTTTTTTTTTTTCGAGACGGAGTTTCGCTCTTGTTACCCAGGCTGGAGTGCAATGGCACGATCTCGGCTCACCACAACCTCCGCCTCCTGGGTTCAGGCAATTCTCCTGCCTCAACCTCCTGAGTAGCTGAGATTACAGGCACGCACCACCATGCCCAGCTAATGTTTTGTATTTTTAGTAGAGACGGGGTTTCACCATGTTGACCAGGATGGTCTCGATCTCTTGACCTCGTGATCCACCCGCCTCGGCCTCCCAAAGTGCTGGGATTACAGGCTTGAGCCACCGCGCCCGGCTTTTTCTTCAGTTTTAACAATGTTCATAGAGATGGGGTTTTGCCATGTTGCCCAGGCTGGTCTCGAACTCCTGGGCTCAAGTGATTCTCCTGCCTTGGCCTCCCAGTGTTAGAATTGCAGATGTGAGCCACCACACCGGGCTGTTTTTTTTTTTTTTAAAGTTTATTTATTTATTAAACTTTACTCTTCCCTCAATGATATATGAGAGTTTTTAGTTCTTTACCCACACTAAGTATTATCAACATTTTAAATCTCTGGCAATCTGGTAGGAGAGGTTGTATTTAATTTGCATTTCTTAGTGGCAAATGAAGTTAAGCACTATTTTTTTTTTTGAGATGGAGTTTCACTTTTGTTGCCCAGTCTGGAGTGCAATGGTGCTATCTCAGCTCACTGCAACTTCTGCCTCCCGGGTTCTAGCAATTTTTCTGCTTCAGCCTCCCTAGTAGCTAGGATTACAGGTGCCTGTCACCACGCCCAGCTAATTTTTGGTATTTTTAGTAGAGACAGGGTTTTACTATGTTGGCCAGGCTGGTCTTGAACTCAGGCTGGTCTTGACTTCAGGCGATCCACCTGCCTCAGCCTCCCAAAGCACTGGGATTATAGGCGTGAGCCACTGCGCCAGGCTGAGCACTATTTTATATATGTATTAGTCACCTGTATTTCATCTCGAACAAGTAGCCTATATCCTTTGTCCATTTTTCTGTTTTTTTTTTTTTTTAGAGACAGCATCTCACCTTGTTGGCCAGGATGGTGTCGAACCCCTGACCTCAGGTGATCCACCCAACTCAGCCTCCCAAAGTGCTGGGATTACAGGTGTGAGCCACCGTGCCCGGCTCCTTTGTCCATTTTTCTACTGGAATTTTAAATTTTACCTTGTTGATTTTGATAGTTCTCTGTATCTTAAATAAATTAGCTTTTTTCATCCATATAGCAAATTATTTTCTCACAGTTCCTAGCTTATCTTTTGACTTTGTTTCTGGTATCTTGGTATATATAATTTTTAATTTCTGTGGACTCAAATTTATTTATCTACCTTTAGGTTTCTGGGTTTTAGGTTATGTTTAGAATGGTGTTTGAAAATATAAAAAATATACATATGTTGTTCAGAGGAGAAGATTATCTGGAAAACCTAATTTATAATCAGAAGTTTGTTCCATTTGCACAGAGTTAGAGCAAAGAGAACTATGGGATGTTTTAGTCTTCCTGTGGTAAACCTGGAGGATTATCTTTGCTATACTGTGGCATATAAATCTCTAGTGACCAGAACATTTGTGCATCAAATAGTGTCTTGCCCTTTATATAGTATCAAATGTTTCCAAGTTTTAACTATTCAACTCCCCGTTTTCACTATTTCTTATTAGGCACCCAAAGCCTTTATAATGGTTTTCTCATGAAGGACATGTTACAAAGATTATTTTCCATCAGTTACATATTTCATTTGATGGCATTTTCTCAGTTCGTTCTCACATTCAAAGGGTGAATTGTTTAGGTTTTTCAGTACCCCACGAAATAAACTCCACTCCTTAGGACTGGGGCTCCTAGCATTCTGTACATAGTGAAGTCTTGATATATATTTTTTGAAAGAGCTTTAACAAAAAAATAATGGTTACTGTAAAATATTCTTAAATATCAGTACAAAAATGCTACAAAATTTGTTTCTGATGTTACATCAGTTTGTTATTAATTTTCAGTGGTATTTTTCACAAAATGAAAGCATATCTGCTAAACAGAAGAGCTTTTTAGTTTTGTTCTAAGCATAAAATTGTTTAGAATCTTGGTTGCTACACAGATAATTAACTGAAAACACAAATTTATAAAATAGATAAAAAACCATTTGTACTATGTACTATAAATGTGATGTTTGGAGCAGAAAATTAGTGGTTTTCAGTTAATACTAAGACAGGAAATCATTTAATATCAATTGAGATTAACTTGGCACAATTGAACTAAATTAATGTAAAAATGACTTGGTACACGGCCCAATTTTTCTATTACTTCAAGTGGAATTTTGCATTAACTTATATAACTCTGTAAATTTTCCATTACTCTCTATTTAATGTTCTAGCTGCATCATTCTGTAACTCGAATCTATTAAACTGTATAGCATTCTACCAAAGATGGTCTATAAAAGAAATGGAAATTTATTTTGAATAGTATTCCACTCCTCAAAGCTTTAGAGGTAAGTAAAAACGTCTCAGATTTTACTTCTTGTTATTGACATTTAGACGTTTCTGTTTAACTTTTATTGTCCAGTTGATTAAATATACTATAACTCTTTTTGTAAAGTTGCAGAAAAAACAATAAGCAGAGAGGAAGAGAAAGAAACTAATGAGATACAGAAGGAATACAATTTAAGGACTGAAAATAATCGTTATTTTGCATTAGGAATGTTAAAAGTGATATCGGAGCGAAGGCTTCGTTATTTACACAGGACTTGCCTATTTCCCATTTGGAAAATTTGTCATGAATACGTTTTATTCCATTCTAATTGAAATGTAATTTAATATTAAATATTTTATCGAAAATTTCAAAAAAGGAACACAAACGAAGACTTCTTAAGCAAACACTTATTTTATGAATCTACGAACTTCTGTCAACAGCAATGGAGACGTTGTAATAGGTCACTTCTTCCTGTCCAAGGAAAAAGCGGAGCTTTTGAGGGGATAGGCCCTTCCCGAGTTTTTCTCCCCTGAGTAAAGAACTCTTGGCGGTCAAAGGTTCACTACACTGGATTTGAAACAAACAAAAAAATAAGGCTGACAAGGACTTGAGTTAACAGGGGTCGGAGGAGCAGAAAGGTTCTTTTTGCACTTCAAACATCTTGGGGGAGGGTTGGGAAGGCAGGATGCGAGGTAGCCAAAATTCCTAACAATTTCGCGCGGCCGCCCCCGCCCAGGAAGGCAGTGGATGCGCGGTGGAGGCGGGGTAGGTCCCCCTCCACTCCTTTTGCCCAAATTTCGATTTCCCTCCACTTCGCTCATTCCTATCTCTTCCCCTGCCTGGAGAGTGGCGAACAAATTGGGCGAGGGCCCGGCCTAGCCTACTAGTCCAGTTCCTTAGGACTCCTAGACCCTGGAGACACAGACCACGTTTTCTCGGAGACGGGACCAGTGGGCTGTAAAGCAAAAAAATTTTTCTTTCTTTTCCAGGGCCAGGTCTTCCTGGTAGAGAATCAGCTCGCTCTCTCTCCACACCCGAAGCAAAAAACAAAACAAAACCAACCTCTCCTCCGCCCCCGATCTAGTCCAAGCATTCTCATTAAACCGCTTAGGATCAGGTGCCAGAGTTAAGCGAGTTGGGTTCTTTTGGTGGGAAGGGGTAGGGACAAGGGGACATTGGTGGTCCGGGATGGAGGGCCGCAGGCCCCTCGCCGGGGCGTGTCAGAAGAGGGGACTTCGAAGAGTGATGCCTGACTGGGCTGCCACCTTAGGGCCGCGCGAGGGGCGGAGGGGCCAGGGAACGAGTCCCCGAGCGAGCCCGGCCGGCCTCTGAATTCCCACGGCCCAGGCTCCGCAGGATATTCCTACCGGCCTCCCGTCGACACCCCACTAAAGACAGAAAAACCGCGGCTCGATCCGGTCCGCGGCGGAAGCGCGGCCAAACGACAGAGTAAGTCAGGCGCGAGCACGGCACCTTGTTTACCCCACTCGGCGGCGCGCCCCTGCCGGCGCCTGGTTTGCGGGCGGCGTCGGAGACGCTGAACCCGGGAGTCAGTCGGCCACGATTGGTCGGCGACTGGGAGGAGGACGCTGGGTGGGAGGGCTGGAAGCCAGGCATTACAGTGGCAGCTCTCTGCCGCTAGATGGCGCTCCCTCCCAACGGGAGCGGGGCGCGGGTTCGTGGCCGACAGATGGCGCCTGCGCGTTCCATTCGCCTCCAAGTCGCCGAAGAGCGAACACCCCAAACAATCCCGAAGCGCCACCAAAAAAAAAAAAAAAAAAAAAAAAAAAAAAAAAAAAAAAAAAAAAAACCCCCCCGGATCCGACCGCCACTTTCAAAACCCCCCACCGCTCTAGAACCGCGGGAGCTTCCGTCCCTGAGTAGAATTCGAGGGTGTAAAGAAGAGGAAGGGGAAAAATATCTTGTACCAGCCCAGGGGTGAAGAAGCCCCCGGCCTGAGAAAGAAGGAGGAGTGGGGGAGGCGAACAGTCTCGTTGCTGCCTCTGTGTACGCTGAGGGGGGAGGTAAGTTATAAAATGGCGGAGGCGAAGCTTCTAGAAGTTTGGAGGGGCACCCGGAGGGCGCGGGGCCCACCGTGAGGTGTGTATGGTTGAAACAGGGCGAGAGAGAGGAGTTGGGAGGGAAAGAGGTTGGGCACTCTGTTGCCACTGAATTTCCCCTCTGCTTCCTTCGTCCCTACGGGGGGCAACCATGGATCGGGGGCAGAGTCCAGGCGGGAGGATCTTCCTCGCCCGCGCGGCGCCCCCAGCCCTTTCTCCCTTCTTCCCCCAAGTCGCTACCCCAACACTTCCAAGGAACTTCCAGCCCCCCTTCCTTCCTACCTCCTACTCCTAGAGTGGCTTTCTACCGTAGAGCTCTTCTTTTCGACTACCCTCGCTGAAGATTTTCTCTTCCTTCCCTCGCCCAACTCTCCCTCGGGGCCTCTACGGAGACCCCCCCCATGGGTGGCCCAAAATGGAGAACGCGGAGCAGCGCAAGATGGAGGCTCCGCTTCTCTGTGTAGCAGTAGATTTAGGTTCCTTTTCTCCGTCAGGCTCTTAAGCCTAGGAGAGCCCGAACTGGAGGTGGGGTGGGGTGCGAGCCGTAGTCAGGGGAGGAAAGCCGGGGAGGCTGTGGTTGGGGTGGGGGAGAGCGCGGTGTCGCGGTGAGGGGAAGGCAGAGCAAAATGGTGGTGCTGGGAACCTGGGGGGAGGGGAGAAAGGAGGCTCAGTTGTGTATATTTGGGCCTCGGACCGAGGGAGGCGAGGGAAAATCTACTCTGATCACACCCCTCCCTCGTGCCCCCTCCCTTCTCCCTTCCCCTCCTTCCTTCCCTCCCTCCCCCCTCCCTCTCTCTCTTCCTCCCTTCCTAGAGAGGGAACAACATTCATGTGACGGGCCCCTCTGCTTCTCCCCCGCCCCATCATCTCCAGCGCGTGGTGGGGGAACTGCTGGGGAAGGCGATTGGCATCGATCTCTCCATCCCTTCCGAGGCCCGACTTCGGTCAGTTTTCTTCGGGCAACAATTTTCGAAATCGGCTGGGGTCTGGCGGTGTTGGCCCCCGCGCGCAGACCTTGCCCCGAAGGGGGCCCTGCCTGCCTGGCATGGGCGGAGGGGGGAAGGGCGGGAGTGGAAGGCTGTTTGTTGGGGGGTTTTGGCGCCACTTTTGTTTTAGTTTTAGTGCTGCTTTTCATTCCCACCCCCACCCGCACTGTCTTTCTCAAGGCACGAACTGAGCTGATCCTTGCCCCAGGTAGGCAGCCTGTGCGTTTTCACTCCACACTTTTATTCTTGCTCGGGGTCGACTTTCTTTTTTCTTCTCCCTTGGATCCGGAGATCTGCGGACGGCGATTTTGGGACGAAAAGGGTCGGATGGGCCGTGGGAGAGAGAAGGTGTGGGAAACAGCATCAAGTAGTTCCGCAAAACTTTGAGCCCTGTTCCCATTTTCTTTTGGCCTAGAATCGTGAACGTATTGTTGATTTCGGCCTTTTTTCCCCCCGTCGCGAGAATGTCTTGTTTTGCCTTTAGTTTTTTTTAATAAACCGCTGCACTTTGGACATTTAGTTTCCGCTCCCCTTTGGTGCATATGTCGTTTTATTTTTAATCCTTAACTGGAATGGGTTATCGTGTGATTTTTTTTTTCGTGCTTCAGTGCTCGGCTTTAATTTTTAATATTGCATTAGTAGTTTCATCCGGTTTGTGAGACTTTCTCTTCCGTGGCCTAGAATGTTTTTTATGTTGTTGCCTATCACCCCTCTTCCCTCTCCCTCCTCCTTTCTCTTGGGTGTAGTTTTTAAATTGAGAGCCATGGTGTTGGATAAAATGGTAATTTACAGTTTGCGTGATATATCTATTGGAAACTTTTGATCTGTAAGGTTAGATTTAAGTAAACGAGACGCTTGTGTTGGTTTGCAATGGTTCCTTAAAATGCGCGGGCCACCCCCACCTCCCACCGTAAAGCCCTATCTTCCCTTCACACTGGAGTGTAAATTCCATACCCCTTTTCTCCCACGGACCGCCGTATTTCACAGCAGCCACACCCTGTATTTGTCTCTGTGGATTGGTCTCATTATCAGCTTAATTTAGTGACTCTTAAACCACCATGATGGGACTTGCTTAAGCACGAAGCTTCTTTTCCTGTTTAGTCCTAGTGGTTAGTGTCGAAAGAGGAATAATCGAGGTTTCTTGATGAAATCTAGTGCGGTCCAACCTCTGCCTTTTTTCTGTTGTCTTTTTTCCTACTCCGGGCTGTTGGCGGTGTCAGCACCGCTGCTGGGGGCGGGGGTGGAGGGGAGAAAGAGTCGGGTTACCGAAGTGCGTCATTCCTGGCTCTAGCAGGGCCTGCTCGGGAGCTGCTGGTGTTTGTTACTGTCCTCGCAGCACTTTTCTGCCAACCTTCTCTCTCTGCGTATTGGTTAGGAGCAAAAGCAGGAGGCGGTCTCCTAATTCTGTCTGTAGGCTAGCGCGTTGCGTTTAAGGGTATATGTGAACTTATTTTGTTCAAAAAAAAGGCCCTGGGAAGTGGATGCATTTGTTTAATGACGTACAATTCAGGTGGTTTAGACTTGCTCTCGTATACTTTCCGATGAACAGTGGGGTTAATTTTCAACCACTTACGTTAAAATGCCTGGTTTTCTTTCTACATTGATATCAATCTATAATTAGGGATCAGAAGGACCAGTTTTGCGTGTGTAAGTGTTCAGCGGCTTTTCAAGTGGTTGAATTGTAGTTTTATGACACATTATGTTAAATAGTCCATTTTTTTTCCGTTTTGAACTAAGGTGCCACGTTAATGTAAGTTAATTGCAGATTTTTAAGTTCGTTTTCTTCACATTTCTCTATTGGTCTTTTTAGGTATAATTTTAAATAGACCTTTTGGGTTTTATGGACTTCATTAAAATTCTTAAAGATGGTGATATCTTTGTGTTTAACTGAATTCTTAAATTTATCACCTACCAAGGAAATGTGTAAGGTGGCTATAGTTAAATTTTTGGCTTTTGACTTCTTAACTTGCTGGTCTTCGGTACTTTTGCTGTCTTTGGGTTTTTCTCAGTGTTCTTACCGAAAGTAGTGTCTTCCTCTTCATTCTTTTTGAAGGTAATAATGAGGGGAGGGAGTGGGTAAGAGGTAGATATGAAACAAAAGTGGCCTCGAGTCGACTATTGTAGTCGGATGAATACAGGAGTGCTCGTTGTTCCTATTATTCTCTCCACTTCTGTGTGTACTGTTAAAAATTTCCATAGTTTAAGAGAAAATTTTTTTGAAGAATTTCCAGATTGTCTTACAGTCTTGGGGGTAATGACTTAAGTTTATATTTACATATCAAAATCACTTGTATTTGAAATTTAGCTTTGTGGAAGTGATTACACAACGCTTGGCAAAACTTTCAAAAAAAAGTTTAAACAGAACTAACATAGAACAGGCCACATAAATACTTATAAATTGGTTGAACTTTAAATGTGTATAATTTAGCCTGAGTGTGCTCTACTTTTACTTTCCTTTTTCATTCTTTGAAAACAGGAAAATTCCATTTGCAAATTTGGTAAATTCTGCTTGGTGTCTATTTCATCAAGTTGGAGTTACAGTGAGTCAGTATGAAAGGGATTTACTATTAATAGGAGGGGCTTTGGCAGTTGCAGTAAGTGACAGTGGAAGGGATTGAGGTGCCATAGGGAGCATTCCCGGTAGAAAGATCTAGGTAGCTGAATTCAGTTTCAGGATTTGAAGTTTAATGACTGGGTAGAGAAGCGGATTGAAAAAGAAATGTACTTATTAACTATTCCTTCCCACTGTGAAGTAACTATAGTATTCTGAGGTATATCAGAGACTGGCAGAGAGGGTGGAGTGGGTTCTTTTTTTTTTAACTGATAAGAAAATGAGTGTTTACATTTAAAATGGTTTAAATCACCCCACACCCCAAGGATGTGGTGCTATAACTAATTAGAAGTTGATATATAAAATATTTCAGCATTCTCTGTTAGCATTCTGACCATTAGCCATAAGCGGTAAAAATGTGTTGCAATGAAAACCCTTGGTCTCCCTTAATTAGTATATTTGTGAACTCCTAAATTCTATTAAAGTAAGTACCTTTTTTTGTTTTTGCAGTTCAGTTATGTACTGTTTAGTGTCAGGTTTATTTTTTTCCCCTAGGAGATACATTTTAAAAATATATGTCACAATTCTGAAAGGAATCCAAAATAATGGGTATTTAATTGATAGCAAAATTTCACCCCTATCTGGGAACAGACATTTTCTAACTGTTAGCATTAGTCTGTTTGTGTATTTCATATTCAGCATTTTAGCTTTAGAAGGATGTTAAGAGAAAATAGATGACATATTTCAAATTTTTACTCATATGCAAATATCCTTAGTAGATGGTAAGGATTGTGGCATCAGATTTATTTTATTGCGGGTGAGGCAATAGCTAAACTACTACGCTAACACACGATGAGTCTGGTAACTTTTAAGTATATATAGTTAGGATTTTTAAAAGCCCAAACACTCAAATAAGATTTTCATGAAATCAAATTCTACATTTCTTTTTCAACTTTATTGACTTCTGTGGTCACCCAAGGACTTAGGAATTAAAATGAATGGGATGGGATTGGAGAACAGGCTAAGGCTAAATCTATTTCTTTGGGAATTTAGCGTTAGATGTGAAAATAGGCAGTTTAGTAATGCTTAATATTTTGCATGTTTAACTGATACCACCCACAGTCATATGTGGGAAGGTAGTAAACAGAATAGCATATTCTTTCTGCTTTGGGTTCTTTATAATAGATGACAGACTTCAGTTTCTGATGCTGCAAGTTGACTTTTGAGCTTAAACCAAAATCGGCCAAGCACAGTTACACCTGTAATATCAACACTTTGGGGAGGCCGAGAGGCTGAAGTGGGAGGATTGCTTGAGCCCAAGGAGTTCAAGACCAGCCTGGGCAACATAGGGAAACCCCATCTTTACACATAATTAAGAAATTAGCCAGATGTGGTGGTGTACGCCTGTGGTCCCAGCTATTTGGGAGGCTAAGGCAGGAGTATCACCTGAGCCTGGTAGATAGAGGATTCGGTAAGCCATGATTGTGCCACTGCCACCAGTCTGGGCAACAGAGCAAGACCCTGTCTCAAAAAAATGAAAAATAAAATGTACAGTTTACTGTATAATTGAGTACAATTTTGGGAGGTGGGGAGAATAGCAAGGGAAAGGGATAGTCTTAGTTAGGTATGGGCATCAGTATATACTGAGTGTGATTGTTGGAGAGTAAGGAAGGAACTTTAAAGACATAGGCTATTTTAAAAGTTCTTGGCGGGGCGAGGTGGCTCATGCTTGTAATCCCATCACTTGGGGAGGCTGAGGCGGGCTGATTGCGAGGTCAGGAGTTCGAGACCAGCCTGGCCAACATGGTGAAACCCTGCCTCTACTAAAAATACAGAAATTAGTTGGGTATAGTAGTGTGCGCCTGTAGTCCTAGCTACTTGTTAAACCTGGGAG